GTAAGCGTGGTAGATTCACTTTCCTACCTCATAGGTGGGCGAGGGTGACTTGCTCGCTGAAATTGAAACCGACAAGGCGACCATGTCCCTAGATGCAAGCGACGAAGGTTATGTTGCAAAAATTCTTGCACCTGCTGGAACGAAAAACATACCCATCGGAACTGTAAGCTGGTTATTTTCTACTTTACATCCTCGATAGGCTCTATGCGTTATCGTTGACTCGGAAGGTTCAATCGCCGCATTTGCTGACTTCAAACCTGATGCGGTAGGCTTTTTCTGCCTTATATTAGATTCGCTTCGGACACTCGTCCTTTTATCCTTAAGTTGACATTGAATCTTATAATCTAACCTGTTGGTAATCTACATGTGATTTTAGTACTTCAAAAACACTGAGTTAATTAGTTACTTGAGTTCAATGGCTTCTGTTGAACAGATTATGTTTTACGCACTGTAGAATACCAAAGCTAATGTTAGCTTGACTTATTTTACGCCACTCTGAGTGTCATTGTCATGGTACAAACGCCTAAAGGACTTAACTTAAGTGTTTATCTAGCTGACTGTAGTAAACCAGTCTTCGTGGTCGAAAGTGACAATTAGAGCCTTATTACACTTACTTTTAGTCATCGGTGCTCCAACGTAGTTTTCGATGCCAGCTGTCTCCCCAGCTGCCTGATTCCATTACCAGTCAAGCTTTAAAATATCGAGCTGGTAAGACAAGGACTAGCCAGGGATTTTTAATGCTAGCTGAAAACTTCGACGTAACAGGCGCCCAGAAATGTTCGTAGCGAGCACTTGTGAATGCGTTTTGAATTCGTTAGCGTTGTTTTGAGCGGGGCATTCACTGTAATAATGCCACGACCGTGACTCAGATCTTCACCTGTAGCATGTCTGCAGTGTTGTTCGCCTAAAACCAAAACCAGCGGCGTCTATTTGGTCTCTTAAATCATCAAATTTAGCTGTCATGTAATCTGAAATCTTCGGTACCCTCTCAGAAACATTCTAGCTGATGCTTACTTGTAGTGCGTTCCCAACACCGGTATTTGTGTTAGTAGAATGCATACTTTAGAATGTTTCTGCCGACTTTAGTGTAGTACCGT